CATTTAACAACAGATTTTTATTTTATTTTATTTATTTTATTTTTAGAGATAAAATTTATTCAAGTTCATGTCTATTAAGTCAATATTTCCCATTCTTTTCTCCTGAAACACATTTCAAGGTGGACTATGAAGAAAAAAAGGGTTTAAAAAGTAGTTTAAAAATTGAGGAATTCTGGGACCACTATACTGTATGTGGACTGGGAAAATCCAAAGAATAATTAGATTTATTAATTTAAGCACATAAAATCAACAATAAAGAGAACATCTGTGGGCCTCTCTTGAGTTCTTTGAGCCAAAGTACTGTTTTAATAGTCTTCCTCATCCCTTTACATCAGTGATGAGATTCAAACATTTTTACTACTGGATCTGTTGGTGTGGCTTGATGGGCGTGGCAGGGGAAGGATACTGTAAAATCTCCAGTCAGAGGTAGGATTTGCCGGTTCTCCGAACTACTCAAAATTTCTGCTACTGGTTCTCCAGAACTGGTAAGAACCTGCTGAACACCACCTCTTTTTTACATGCTTTACATGCTTTTGATCATCTTTAGATATGTCTGGTGTCAGGTTTCCAAGTAATGAAATCCATGTTAAAAGAAAAATAACAAAGTCCATCTTCAAAAAGATTTCTATTTAGGAAAACATCAAATTGACAAAGTCCATGGTAATTCTGGATCTGATCCAACCCGGAATTACCCCACAATATTAGAAGTTAGAAACATCCCCCCCAAAGTCACATTCTCCAATAGAAGTAATCCAATGTTGCTTGATGTCATAAATCTCCACCTCCAGGGCCCCAAGCCCGGACAGCTCATTTCCTATGGGAAAGAAGATACCCTAGCCATAACACTCTCTTTATCTCCACTCCTCCCCCCTCAGGAATGTGTCAAGCCCGCAACTTTTTCTCCCATGACTACCATAGGGAAAATAAGAAAAAGAATATATACTAAGACAAACTAAAATGGCTACACTTATGACAATTTCGGGCTTGACAGGCTGCCCTCTCTCATTGAAAAAGAAACCCCTGCAAAGACATAAAACACAAAGATTGAAATTAGGCCAAACACAATCATACAATGCACATTTTTAACCTCCTCTGCCACCCACAGAATTCAGTTTGGGCTTGTGTGGATATTTTTCATGGAATCTCCCCACCAATCTATAAGCATTTACTTTCCAGCTATTAACCCAAGTCGCTTGTGAAAATGGATAGCCTTTCCAATAAATTAAATATCGTAACTTCCCCCTGAAAATCCTAGAATCTAAAATTTTCTTAACTTCATAATGTTCATGGCCTGCAATGAACAAAGGCTTTGGGGGTGCCTGTTCTGCAGGCCTCAAGGAAGAAATAACAATCGGCTTTAATAAACTACTGTGAAACACCGGGTGTATCTTCCCCAACAACTTAGGGAGATTACGTTTCACAGTTACTGGGTTTATTACTTTATTTATCTGAAAAGGCCCTATAAATTTTGGAGTTAATTTTCTAGAAGGTAAATGTAACTTTAAATATTTAGTTGACAAATAAACTTTATCCCCCACTTTAAATTGTGGCTGCTGGGAACGGTGTTTGTCAGCTTGCATTTTTTGAATCTGTACTGCCTTATTCAAAGCCTTTTTTGTGTTTTCCCAAGAGTCCTTAATTGCATCCATCCACTCAGTTACTGACATGGATGTCGGGGGGGTCCCTTCGGCAATTCAGGCATGGGAATGAACTCCATCCCAGTATTGATTTCGAAAGGTGTTAACCCAGTACTACTATGGACAGCATTATTATAAGCAGCCTCTGCAAATGGCAGCAAATCAGCCCAGTTGGTTTGTTGATAATTTACATAACATCTCAAATATTGTCCAATCATTTGGTTAGTCTTCTCAGCCAATCCGTTGGTCTGGGTGTGGAAAGCTGAACTCAGACCTTGAAAGGACCCAATTGCTTGTATGAATTCTCTCCAGAATTTTGCAGTAAATTGAACTCCTCTATCTGAAATGATTCTGCGAGGCACTCCATGTAGTCTATATACATATGATTCACAAACATTTTGGATAATTTTCTGGCTGATGGTAGACCTTTACATGGAATAAAATGAGCTTCTTTGGAGAATAAATCCATTACAGTCCAAATTACTGTGTGCCCCCTCTGTCAGGTAAATCTACTATGAAATCCATCCCTATCTCTTCCCGAGGCCAGGATGGCTCAGCTACAGATTGTAATAATCCTGGAGGTTTTCCTGTTCTGGTTTTCCTCGTGGCACAACTCTTTACATAATCCTCAATGTCTTGCTTCATTCTTGGCCACTAAAACTGGTGCTTGACCATGTGTAGAGTTTTTAAATATCCAAAATGTCCTGCTTGTTTAATGTCATGCCTTTTTTGAAGCGCAAGAAGATTTATGACAATTTCGAGCTTGACATCTGGCAGGTGAAGATATTCTGTGCAGTGAGGGAAAAACTGTGGCAGATATATCTCAGGAAATATGTTGAAGAATTTCAACATTTTCTGCCAACGCATATTCCTTCTAATTTTAAATTTTAGATTTTAGGTAAGCTAAAATCATTGTCTGGCAGAGTTTTACCTAAAAATCATCTGGGGGCCACCATTTTGTAAAATCTGATTATCAAAAACTATATATTTCTACAACTGACAGAATAAAAATAAAAGTTGTATGTTGTACATATATTTATTATACTGATGTACAGGTGGTCCTCACTTAAAAATTACTTGTTCAGCAACTGTTCAAACTTGTGATAGTATTGAATTGTACTTACAACTGATCCTTCAGTAATTCCAGCCATCACAGTGTTCCAAGGTCATGTTGTTGCCATTTGTGACTTTCTTTGCCAGCTTCCTATAAGCAAAATCAATGAAGAAGCTGGCAGGAGGTTGCCATTTGTGACATGATGTCCTTGCTTGATAAACTGCAGTGATTCGCTTAATGACTGAAACCAGAAGGTGATAGAATTGATGTTTCTAAGCGATGCAGACACACAACATTGCACTTTTTGACTGTGTCACTTAGTAATGGACATTATGACCCCCATTATTGTGATTAAAGAAGGACAACCTGTGTTATATTTGATAGGTCTAATTTGTATTTTATTATGATGTAGTCCTGAAAGTTTCTATTTTGTCTTTTTCTTGTAGCTACTTGATTTTTTTTCCTAAAATGCACTATATGCTTATCAAAGGTTCTTAAATTATCTGTTGTTACAATTCATGACAATTCCTTATGATTTACTTCCCATTGGCTGCTTTTTAAAAAATGCCACTGTGTTATGCCTGCTTGAAAAATTCAGAAATATTTGTATCGAAAATCCTCCTAAACTTTTATCTTGGATAAACAGAATAAAACTGAGTTGGCCCAATGAAAAAAAAGTATGAACACACCTGCATAGAAAATGAGATTATTTCAAATATGCACAAAAGCAGGAGTGTTATGCTCAAAGGAACATGACAGATGCTAACATAGGAGGACAGAAATAACAACAGACAAATATTAGCCTATGTCCAAATTATAAATAGATTTGTTTTCTTGTCTTACAACAATACATAAATTATTGCTTTACTAGTTGGTGTCACTTTTGTCCCCAGGTGGTTGAGAATGGATTGATCAGTGCAAATGCCTTTGTTAGCAAATGAGTCAGCAAAAGATTGGTGTCAGTTGTTTGTACATTTAAAATATGGTTATTTGTTTTTGCAAGCCAAAAGCTGATGTCGTGTAATTACTCCAGAGGCTTGCAAACCTGTCAAAACCAGTCAATGTTACTTAGCTCTTTCTAATCTTCCTAGAACAAAACAGCTCTTTTCCTCTGGGTTCCCTCTGCCCAGGGAGGCAGCGGGGTTGAATTAACTGGACCATTCTATTTCTCATCCCTTTCTATGTTCTCATAGGTAGGCTCTCAGTGTGGTGGGGACAAGGTGGGGTGGAGGGGGAAAAGGACAACATGTGTGTGATGATGCAAAAGACATAGAGGTCCCAATGCAAATACATAATTGTATCATTTTCATGATTACATAATTGTACTGGTTATCATTTTGGCATCACTATGGTTTGCTGTAGAGACTTGTGCAGAGGTCCACATGGAACGAGAGAAGGCACCATTGGATATGGCTCAGTTCTTTCTTGTCCTACCATCTTTGTCAACTCTGCCTAAACTGTCTGCGGTACAAAGACTCATAGCTTACTAATAGGCAACACATGATCTCATGTTCTGTTCCTGGGATCTCCAGTTAAGAATGGGTCATATAGTAAGAAAGATTTCCTTCTAAGTTCCTGCAAAGGAGGTGCCAATTTAAAAGGACAATTCAGACATGGAATGTTCACTTTGTTTATGTATAAAGATTTGATTTATACTTTTCTAGATATGCACAGATTCAGTTGTTATTGTTTAATAAGCTTGTCTTGTGATCTTGGCCAACAAATCAATGTAGGGTCTTGAATCTATGTGAATAGCATTTATTAGGAAAGGTGCAAACTATTGAGTCCAATCTGATTAACCCCGGATGTTGGTCCTGCAAAGGATTCCTAAATCCAAATGTGTCCTTTACATTAATTTTTATGGTCATCGTGTGGTTGAAATCAAGTAGATGGTACTGGAGGATGACTGCATAGAATTAGAAAATGCTATTTAGATAATTGATGGATGAATATCACTACTAGGCATCTTAAGTTAGTTTTTCAGTTTCTATGTTAGATTTTCAGAATCTGTTAATTGAATGAATATGGTGGGTAGGATCTGTACTGGTTTCATGGTTATTAATCTTATTTGGTATAATTCTCCAACAGTACAAATAAAATGACCCACTGAAATGTTGCAAATGTTATCCATGCTATCAAATATGCTGCATGTATTTCAAGTATTGAGCAGCTGTGTTGCACTGAGTAAAAATGTTGATTATTTCAGCAGAGTAACGTGTTTAAGACTACAGCATGCTAGAAATAACAGTGTTATGGAAGTATTTATGTATATGGAACTTGTAAAAAAGAAGCATTTTATCACATTGTAGAAACACGGTCCAGGCCCAGGGGATTATGAAATAAAGGATGTCCAACCAGTTCCAATACGATCGTCCTTCATATCAAAAGTACCACGAATATTGCCAGCCCACACGGTGAGTATAAAATTGAAAATGGCTCAATCTGTGCTTGCAGCTATAGGGCTGATTTGGGATCCCTGACTTTCTTGGAGATATTCCATTTTCAGCCTTTGGATTTTCAGCTTTCTTTTGTGCAGTGAGGGACACCTAGCATTTGCAAGATATAAAGGAAAACATGGAGACAGTAAAAGTTACTTAGATTCAGGCATTATTAACTTGTACCCATGGAAATAAAACCCAGTTATGGAGAAGTTCGGACTGGTTGCCTGATGAGACACTTAACAATATACCTGGGATATTTCTGAAGTTGGACAACCTGGAATAAGGAAGTGTTGTCATGCCCCTGGTGGAGACTGACTCTGAGGGAGAGGAGGAACAGCCAACAGGGAGTGGAAATGTGGTTCCGGAGGTTGTGGAGGAGGCTGGGGAAGGGCAGAAGCCGGCTGGGCAGTCAGAGGAGGACCCAGGCCTGTCCCATCTCCATCCTAGGGCATACAGGGAGGAGAGGATAAGGGAGAGACGTGGTCTACTGGGAGGAGAGAGCCTTGATCTTCTTCATGGTCTGCAGCTGTGACAACTGGATAAGAGGACAGACATGTATATGGGCGAGTGCTGGAAACAAAGCATGGAAATATCTCTAGTTTATTGTTCCTCTCTGAGTTTGGCATCCTTCCCAGTGTGTGTTCTAATATCTGTGGATGTCTTCAAGCCCTTACCTTGCCTGGTTTTGTTGTTTTTCACTCTTTATAATTTAAATGGCATTTCCTCCTTCTTGTAACTGCTTGTGTAGGAGTTTTTTGTCTCCAGTCAAGGATATTTGGAGCTTGGAAGCAAAGTAAAGGATTGAAAGGGGCTTCACCTGTTTGTTTGTTTTTGTTACTGTGTTTATTTTGTATCCCACCCTGGGTCATCACAAGTATGCTCAGTTTTGAAAGATCAAAATGAAGCCCAAACATGGGGGAATTCTAGTCCATTTCAGTTAGTCCTTAACTTAACAACCACTTGTTTAATGACCATTCAAAGTTACAATGGATCTGAAAAAGTGACTTATGATCGTTTTTCACACTTACAACTGTTGCAACATCTCCATGGTCATGTAATCAAAATTTAGATGCTTGGCAACTGGTTCATATTTATGATGGTTGCAGCGTCCCGGGGTCATGTGATAATTACCTTTTGTGCCCTTTTGATGAGCAAAGTCAATGGGGAAGCCAGATTCACTCCACAGCCAGGTTACTCGCTTAACAACTGCAGTGATTCACTTAACAGCTGTGGCAAGAAAGGTCATAAAATGAGGCAAAACTCGCTTAATCTCACTTGGCAGTATAAATGTTGGGCTCAATTGTGGCCGTAAATCTAGGACTACCTGTGTAATATTTCATTTAGCACTATTCATCCTGCAGTAGCAAGCTTGTTCATCCTGCTTTCTAATATTCACTGGCAGCAAATATAAAGCTACTGTGAAAACTCGGCACGTTGTGACATTATACTTCAGTTTGGTAGATGAATACAATCCATTATCTTTAATCATGTGAGTCATACCATAATGTTAGTATAATTTAATTTGGATTCTTGCACTGAGAAAAAAGTTGGACCTGATAGCCTAATGGCTTGTTTCCAAGTCTATGATTCAAGGACTGTAATTCTAATCAACTTGAATTTGGTTATGGTTGCTAAGGACATCTTAGACTTAGACAAGCTTACTATGCTGTGAACCTACATTACTGCTTGGAGAATTCTGGGGGGGTTTGAAATCCAAGCATCTTAAAATTGCTGAGTTTGAGAGATGATGCAGCAGACAGGAAGAACCAAAAGAGAAGGAGATTCAGAATAGCTAGTTACAAGGTCTGATATTCCTTATTTCAATATTTAAAAAAATACTCCTCAAAGATGAAATTAACAGGATATTCCTACCTAGATGATCTTCTCTAACTCAGAATGATTCCAGATAGACCAGTCTAAGTAATACCTGCTCTGGAGGTGGGTTTTGTTTTATTTTTTTGGGTAGCAAGAAATTAAAAAAAAAAAGATCTCAGAGTGATTTAAACAAGATCTGAGCTATGAATACTAGCATTGTTGTTTTCTTATCGAAATCTACCTTCATTAATTTCACAATGATCTTGTTTGTATCTTATTCTGCACAGAAAGTTCCTGGTCCAGGATATTATTGGCCTACCAAGCAGGCACCAAGACAGCCTAGAACTATTGCCAGCCTTGGACGGGAGCATACCATTTTCTTTAGCAACGTTCCTGAATTTTAGAATACAAAGATCACGTCGTTCTGAAACCTTCATTAAGACAAGCTTGCTAATTTTTATTCCTCTTCATTTTAAATTATGTTGTTAATCTATGCAAATGCATTGTTTGTTTCGTTTTCTAGCATCCTAGGTTGTTTTTGGTTTTAAATCATGACATGGCTTGTAACTGTGGTTAAATCATGGCATATCCTGTGATTGAATATTTTGTAATTTGCCAGAACTTAAATCATTCAGAGGCAGCAGTATTTGCTAGATGCACGGTCGGCATTGGAAGAGAAAGAGAATAGAGATGACTTAAGTTATCCAAAAGGATCAGCCTTCTCATCTTTTTCCTGATAAGGATAGTTTGGTGCCAGCATATCTAAATGCCAGACCTTTCTATTTTTCATTCAACCTTCTCAGATTGCCCGGGTGTTATCTATGATCAATGAATAGCTTATTTCAAAATAATGACATTGTAATCAATAGCATCCGCTGGTCTCTTTGCAGAGTTTCAGACTTCGTAAAAATAATTTATACCCACCCAAAAGACTACACTTAATAGGCCAGGAAAAGAGTAAAAAAAAAAGTGGAAATGCTTATTGTTTAAAATTAAACTAATCATTACTATAAGAAATCTAGAACTTCTTTCTTTGCAATCTTCTTTTTTTAATCCTGGAAAATATTATATTTGAGAGAGCTGTATGTTGGAAAAGTGGAAATGGTTGTGGTTTGGCCTATGCTTGCTTTGTTAGTTAGGCTAGGGCGAGATGATGGCTGTTGTTTCAAGGTCTCCTCATGCATTTAATGAGTAAGTTGATACTGTTCCAGCTCTCCCTAAGTACAGGTAGACCTCGACTTACAACCATTCATTTAGTGACTGTTCAAAGTTACAATGGCACTGAAAAAAGTGACTAATGGCCATTTTTCACATTTATGTCTGTTGCAGCATCTCCATGTGATCAGAATTCAGATGCTGGGCAACTGGCATGTATTTATGACAGTTGCAGTGCCCAGGGGTCATGTGATCACCTTTCATGACTTTCTGACAAGAAAAGTCAAAGGAGAAGCCAGATTCACATAATAATGGTGTTACTAATTTAACATCTGCAGTGATTCACTTGATAGCTGTAGCAAGAAAAGTCATAAAATAGGGCAAAATTCACACCGTCTTGCTTAGCAACAAAAATTCTGGGGCCAGTTGTGGGCAAGGATTATCTATATTTGGCACATCAATGTGCAAAATGTAGGAATTGACTGTGACAATCAAATAGTCATGAAACAAGCACATCAGGGTTGGTACAGGGAGGGAGTGATAATTGATGATATGAGGCATCTGGAAAGGAGGAGAAGGGGTCTAGAGACTGCACACAAAAGCTTTGGAGTGGGCAGGGCTTGCAATTAAGTTTTGGCAGAACTTAAATGGGCTCTGGAAGCCATGAAAATGGGCTCAGCAGACTATGAGAGCACGGCATTCAAAGAACACATTGGATTAACTTCTCTCCTCCCCTTTTAAAAATATGTGTTGCTTTAACTATGACGTTGCAACCATCTCTGATGGGCAGTTTTGGAGCCACAGACCAGTGGTGGGATTCAAATTTTTTTACTACCGGCTCTGTGGGCGTGGCTTGGTGGGTGTGGTGTGGTGTGGCTTGGTGGGTATGGCGTGGCTTAGTGGGTGTAGCAGGGGAAGGATACTGTAAAATCTCCATTCCCACCCGACTCCTGGGGGAAGGTTACTGCAAAAATCCCATTCCCCCCCCCCGCTAATCTGCTTTCCAGCTCCATTCTCCTGTGCAGGGGAACACAAGAAGACCCAGCCGATCAGCTGAGACTTGGGAGGCAGAGAATAGATGGGGGCGGGGCCAGTCAAATGTGGTATTTGCTGGTTTTCCGAACTACTCAAAATTTCCACTACCGGTTCTCCAGAACTGGTCAGAACCTGCTGAAAACCACCTCCGCCACAGACTACTTAGCTGGCTCAAGGCATCCAGCTGAAGCCGAGACCTTTAATCTAGGAAAAATTCTCCTCATATACAGTCCATTCATTGCATTTACTTCTAAGTTTCCAATAGTGTATTGCTCCCAAAGGACATTTCTGCCTCACTTTGTACAATATAACATAGAGAACCTGAGTCAGCAAAGAATTTCAGTGGAAGCAAATCATTGATAAATGGAGCAAAGTCTCTCCGGTTTACTAATCGTTATCAAAGCAGATTTTGCAAATCGACTTCTCAGAATAAAGTGTAGTCCTTTATTATTCCTTAACGTTAATTTACTACCTATCTCCCTAATCTTAATTGCACTTCTAGCCCCCCTCTCCCCCATATGCTATTAAAATTCATTAACTTGAAAGCAAGCCTCAAAGTTCAGAAACTTCAGCTGGCAGAACCCTTCAGCACTTCTCCAATCAAATAAGAATGTCAAGTGATAATATGAATGTGGCAGAAAGGCTGCTTGTCCGCTTGCTGAAAAGGCTGTGGTAGCATGGTAGCAATGTTGCAGGATTTTTACAACACTGCAGTTGGGTTGGGTTGGGTTTGACTTGAAGAAGATTTGAGAGCTGTGGCAGTGATAAATCAATAGCACACTCTTGAGAATGAAGGCCAACTGTATGTAACAGAGGAGATCCACACTTTAGAATTTTGCTTGCATCTTTCCATAGCATCAACATGCTCCACCAACTTCTTTCTTTGCACCTTCTCATTTTCATCTGATTCTCTGTGTACGCCAAAGGAAGCCTTAAATTAGCTTTCCTGGCTTAACAATATTCTTTTCTGTCTTAACCCAATAAATCCGGTATGCTTCCTTGGCTGTTTTGCTGGGTATGCAGTCACTTAACTCCTAGTGGTTGGGGTTTGTCCTGGTCCTATTGCCTACTATAGATTGGGGCTGGTATAACTACTCTTTCCACTCTCCCTCAGAGTCCTTCTGGTTTGGTAGTTCTTTGATAGTTCTTTCAGTTCAGTCTTTACCTTTGCATCCTAACCAATATTCAGTCCTAGCCCTAATCCTTTGGGCAAACACTTGTGATTGACCATGCCTATAGTGGCAGCCATTTTGTGAAAGGACATGCTGTATGACATTTTACTAAGTTGGCATTTCTTCTCATTTTGCCTCAATATTATTTACATGGAGCCTTTTGGGAGAAGAGATTATTCTTGTTACAGGTATTTGAGACAGAAAGAGAATCTCTGGAAACATTACTTAATCAAAACAGATTCCTTGTATTTCCCAGAATCTCCAAACTGTGATAATGCCAATTCTGGCTTGATGATAAGTATGTTGAGTTCAAATTTTTAGAGAATCAGACCTAATTCTGCACATTTAATTACATGTACTGAGACACAATTCTTCCCTTCAATGCACCCTTTTCTGAACTTTGCCGTTACTTCAATCAAAAAAATATTTAGCAAGTTGCAGATCCTAGGGAAAAGTAACCCTCCGTGAATATATTACTGAAGCAACATAAAAATATATTACAATAACAAAATTTCAAAAATGTATATAAAACCCAAGGCTGCATTGTAAAAATCCTCTAGTGTACATGAGTAAAGAGAGGGGCACATAAAAAGAAATATTGTTGTACAATCAAACCAATCTCTAGCTGATATGGAAATGAGGCAAATGAAAGTGGAAACCTGAAAGCAATAAAATTATTTGAAGCAGAAATGGAGAGAAATTCATCAATTTCTGGGCAGCCTAGCATCTTTTCTCCTGGATAGCATCATGTAGAATTTTTAAGAAAATGTAATACAAGAAAGTGAGATACAAACCATCAATCATGTGTAGTTCTCCTTCACAGGCACTACTATTGCAGTGGGCAATTCTTTGTTTTTCTGCTATCCAAATTATCTGGTACCTTCAACATCAAAAAATGGATGAAGCAGGAAAGGTTCTTTCATGGGAACACAGCTCTTTCTTGATTGATTTTTAATTGTATTTACTAATTATACACTAATTCCTAACTTTATAGTTTACTTCATAGTATTTTGTTTTATCTTACTTCACTTTATCAATTCATTAAAACACAAGAGACAAAATAAAACCCCACAATGGTAAACACAATGCATACAGCCATTATTATACCATAATCAATAATATGGTTCCCCAATAATAATCAACTAAATGTTGAATGCCTGTTCAATACAGAATGGTTTAAAAAGAAAGGTTATTCCAAATGCCAAGAGAGAAGTGTGTCCAGTTGTATGTTTGCAGTCAGCATATTCCATAATATGTGAGCAACCATTGAGATAGTCCATCCCAGTGATTTGAAGCGCTTGCACATGTCTCAGAGTCCTGGACCTTGAATGGACTTTCTCTAAGTGTCCTTGCAATCCATGCAGAATCATAGCCTCCTAATTTCTATAAGGTATTATTTTGCAATAGTGGATTTCTCTTGCTAAGATTCTGACCTCGGCATTTTTATCACTCATAGTTTCTGAGTCACCTTCAAAGGCAGCTCTACCTAAGCACATTTTAAGAGCCTGAACATGTGATAAGAGTCTGAGTTACTCTTGCCAGCACTTCCTGATTTAGGCAGGGCGTACTAGCTAAAGAGGACAAAAGTCTCCCTATCTACAGACTCCATCTGCTCTTCAAATAGGAAACATGAATCCAAGAGACCCCCTCAAATCACAGACTTGCTCATTCAGAAGGAGAGAGATCAGACTAGTGACCATAATGAATATTTCTGGAAAAACTAGATGTTTACAGAAAAACACCACCTCTATCTTACTACTAGGGTTCAGTCTGAATCTTATAGTCTACATCAGAGGTGGTATTCAGCAGGCTCTGATCAGTTTTGGAGAACCGGTAGTGGAAATTTTGAGTAGTTTGGAGAACCGGCAAATACCACCTCTGACTGGCCCTGCCCCCATCTATTCTCTGCCTCTTGAGTCCCAGCTGATTGGTTGGGTCTTCTTTTGTTACCCTGCACAGGAGAATGGAGCTGGAAAGCTGGTTAGTGGGGTGGGGAGGGAGGGAATGGGGATTTTGCAGTAACCTTCCCCTGCCACACCCACAAGCCACGCCCACCAAGCCATGCCACACTCATGGAACTGGTAGTAAAAAGTTTTGAATCCCACCACTGATCTATATACTTCCAAATCTTTATTTCCTGGCTTATGCTAATCACCTGCTTATTGATGATACTTCACTTAGATAAACAAATGACTTCTTAAAGCATTTTTACATAAATTCAATAGCATATGGAGAAGTCACTTCATATTGGAGCAATCACTGATTTCATTGCTATGCCTCTATTACTACCAAGTGGATCTGCTTATTGAAGAAGGAGTTGAAACACTGTAAAATGGTTCCTTCAGTTTTTCAACCCTCAATCCTTATCTAAAAAGAAAAGAACAATAGCAAAATGCTGCTAAGTCCACATTGCTACAATGTTCTGTTCTGGGCTTGAATCCTGACTGAAATTCTTATATCTGGCTGATTCATCACTGACTTCTCAAAAAAAAAATCACTGAAAAAAAGAAAATTGGAATTTGAGTATATGTAGCAAAGTTTTGCTTAGAAGAGATATGGTCTC